TCCACTGGGTCCATCCTGATCTGATTATAATTTGAGAAAGCATCCATGAAGCTGAGGAACTCACACCCAGCAGTTGCATCCACGATCAAGTCAATTCGAGGTAAGGGAAAACTGTCCTTGGGGCATGCTCGATTGAGATTAGTGAAATCAATGCAGAGCCACCATTTTTCATTGGTCTTCTTGACTAGCACCACATTTGACAACCAGGTAGGGTAGTCCACCTTTCTGATGGCTTTGGCGTGGAAGAGTTTACTGACCTCCTTGTTAATTGCCTTCTGGCGTTTCGGAGCAAAACTTCTCTGCTTTTTGTTTAACAGGTTTACAAATGGGATTCACGCTTAGCTTGTGTGTGATGATTGAGGGGTCAATGCCTTCCATGTCTTCTTGTTTCCAAGCGAACACCCCCATCTTCTTCCTCAGGAACTAGGTGAATAGGTCTTTCATTTCTTTGCTCAACTTAGATCCTACGTAAATAATATGTTCAGGTTCCTCATCAAGCTGGACTGCTCTTCTAACAGTATAGGCCTGATGTCCAGCTCATCCCTCATGTCAAGCTCATCTAACTGGATAGTTTCAACCTCTTTCTACTTTACCAAGGCCATGTAGCACTCCCTGGCTATTCGCTGGTCTCCTCGGATCATTCCAACTCCATTTTCTATAGGAAATTTTACGACCAGGTGATATGCTGAGGGGATAGCCTTCATTGCGTTGAGGGATGGTCTCCCAAGTAGTATATTGTATGCAGAAGGGACGTCAACTATCAAAAATTGCACAGTGGTGCTGGCTTGACAAGGAGGGTCCCCCACAGTGAGCACGAGTTGGATGGATCCCAGGGATAACACCTCTCTCCTGAGAACCCTTTCAAGTGAGCATTCACTGGCTCAAGCTTCTCCATTCCTACACCCATTTTGTCAAAGGTAGAGGCAAAAATGATGTCGGCCGAGCTCTCATTGTCAATTAGAACTCGATGAACAGTTTGGTTTACCACAGTGGCCCTTACGACCAACGGGTCATCATGGGGATACTGACAGCCTTCCAAGTCTGAATCCGAGAAAGTGATGGTTGTGCTCAGCCGAGGCATTTTGGATATGGTGTGTACTTCCAGCACTTCTCCAGCTCTGATTCTGCGCAGGTGTGCTTTCTTGGCTGCACTGGATTCTCCATTGCCAGCAAATCCTCTAGATATCACTCTGATCTCCCCTAAGGGTTGCTGGTGCTACACAGGGCTTGTTGATGGGGGTGTCGGTGGTGGCGGAGCCCTGTCCTAGTTGTCATGGGTGATAAATTGTCGCAACTGTCCCCTCTAGATCAAAAACTCGATCTCCTTCTTTAGCTGGATGCACTCGTCGGTATGATGGCCATGATCCCTATGATACTCACAATATTTCGTAGGGTCTCTTTTAGACGGATCTACCTTTATTCGTGGAGGTCACCTTAGGAATTTCTCGCTCTGCACCTCGTATAGGATCTGGGATACTGTCGCAATGAGAGGGATATATTGCTGAGGTGTATACCTCGGCTGTAGTTCAGGCTGCGGGGGGCCTAAGCGGTCCCTAACGTTCCCCCTTCTTTTTGGGGATCGCTCTTTGTATCTTCTGGGAGATCTATCTCTCTTTGGAGATCTGTTTCTTTCCCTTTCTCTCCTGGGACTTTGGTTTCTCGTTTTCTCTTCCTTTCCCTTATCTCTTTGCGCGGAAGAGCTCCCTACCTTAGAAAGAAGAGCTTCTTCGTCGTTTATGTATTTCTCTGCTTTGGCAAGCACCTCGGCCATGCTTGCTTGGGGATTTTTTGATATGGAGAACATCAAATCTTTAGACTGCACCCCTAGACCAGCTATGAAGGCAGTGATGGTGAAATTTTCGTCTGGGACATCCACCTTTAACGACTCTGAATTAAATCTTTGGACATACGACTTGAGGTTTTCTTGTGGTCCCTGTTTGACATTCAAAAGGTGATAACTCGGCTTTCTATAGGTTTGAGCCCCTATGAAGTGGGATACAAAGGAAATGGAAAGCTCTTTGAAGGAAGAGATTGAGGCTGGGGGGAGCCTGTTAAACCACGCCAAGGCTGAACCCTACAAAGTGATGGCAAAAGGCTCGACAGCGTCCGGGATCCTGATACCCGTGTTATTCCATCTGGTTCTTATAAGTATTGAAGTGGTCCAAGGGGTCCCTGGTTCCATCAAAAGACTTTATCTGAATCATCCTAAACTGTGGTGAGAGGGAAAAATGCAACACCCCAAGCGTGAATGGAGATTCAGTCTGCCGCACCAAGGCATCCATTGTAATTGGAGCTTTACTCCTGACCGCTTCCTTTATGTGGCTGAGCTCTTGCTGGATGCCCTTGAAGCGTTGCTCCCAATATTGCTCCTTTCTCTCCTGCTAATAAGGGAAGACATCATTCTTTTCACCTTCAAGGTTTTGACTTTGTACTTCTTCATTGTGGCCGTTCCTAGGGGTAGTTGGGGAACTTGTCCTAAGGTCTGGCTGTTCTCCCCCCTTTCGTTGTCTTCTCTGAGTGGATCAAGGTGTTGTTGGTTCTTGTAGTGGGGACTGTTCTGATCTTCTTGGGCTGGACGTGCCTCCTGTAGGCGCTACAAGAGCTTCAAGAGCTCCTCATTTTGCTTTATCAAGTGCTGATTGACGAGTAGAGCCTCCATCTCGTTATTTGTGGGGGGATTCCCCATGGGAGGATCAGTCTCTAGGACGTTCTCGAGTGGTCTACTATTGGTGGCTCCCTGTTGGTCCTGTATCCGAGATGGGTTTGTTTGGCTTCTGTTCATGTTTTGCATTGACACCATCAGTCACTGAAAAGATCAACTTATTTGTAACAGGAACAGTCGTTCCCAGAGACGACGCCAAACTGATGGCGTAAATCAACGTGGATGAGCTTAAGGTACAAGTAATGTGAGATGAGCGTGGATCAGAGCTACGAGGCTCGTGTATGATGTTATCATAAAATATTGAGGGGATTAAGGGGTGTACATAGTGAAAATATAGTGGTTCACCGGCTCAGGAGCTCGGCTAGTCCACTCTTCAATGGAGATTCTTGCTCCTTTCTTCTCTATTGATTAGTTGAATGTAACACTAGACAATACTAAACTGATTAGGTTTTTTCTTCTTTTTTTCCTCTCTTTGGTGATGAGGCATTGCGTAGTTTTTATAAGCCTGCCCCTATTTCGTGGGATTTCGGCCTAGATCTTTGCCCATTATTCATGTGATCCTCCTTAATTTTAGGAGAGAATCTTGGTTGGTTGAGAGTTTCACGCATGGGGCCTAATTTCCGTTGTCATCCAGCTGTTTCTTGGTCGGTTCAGCTACAATCTCCCCAGGGGAACCCCATCCCTAGTTCTCTGAGTTCCTCGTGTCTTTCCTGACCTCTTGACCTGACCTCACAGCTACGGTTTGTTTGAGGTATCATCAAGTTTCATGTAAAAATTAAGGTTAACCCGTACTTAAAAATATAGTGTAACGTAAATTAATGTGAATGATTTTGAGAATAACGTTAGTGACCGTTAAATGAGTCTATTTGAGACCGTCATATGAATTTATTAAAGTCTGCCCTTATATTATAAATATAATGACCAATAAATCAACCAATTTACAATTTCAATTTAATTTTACTCCACAATCAATCGAGTACAACTAAATTTTTATTCGATTCCATCTCATTGTGAACAATTCCAACATCATTTTATCAGGTAATCCAACAATTACATTCAATTTATGCCCTATTTTACCAAATAATCGAAAATTTTCGGTTCATAGAGGAGGCACACACAGAACATAGAGCACATATTCATTGATTTTGAACATTAATTGAATATATTTATATATTGATTGAAACAATACATGATTATAATTGCAAACTAAATTGCAAGCTCGGAAAATTTGGTACGCAATATAGGTGGTGTACGGTAGGACTGACAACTGCTTCCAAAGCTCAGATACTGTTTGATTAAACCTTTTTAAACTTTTTTTTTTCTAAAAAAAAAAAGGAATTTCATCATAAAGACAAAAATCCATAATTAACTACTATGTCATAAAAGTAATGTGTATGAATTTTATCGTAGAAATAATACACACATAGTCAATTAAGCTCGAAAGAATGGAGTAAACCCAGAGCAAAAGAAAATGTAAAACAATATATATATATATATATATATATAACCATGCAAAACTGAAGCCAACTAAAAAATGTACTTTAACAAACAAAAGCCAACTAAAAAATGTACTTTAACAAACAAAAATAAAAACAAAAGAGCGAAAAAAATCATTACCAAATGGTAGCTCAATTTTTTGATAAAACGGAACGCTAGCATAAATTATTTTTTTCTATTCAACAATTAAGGGTGTTCAGATCAATTTACGTATATTTCGATTAAACTTCTCTTTGATTTGGTTAAATGTAGGTTATCCAGTCATAAAATAGAATATTCATGAAAGATAAATCTCATATGACTTGGCCTTAATAAGTTGCCAAGATTCGAATTGAATTTATTTGATGTTTGAGTCAATATTGCGATAAAAAAGGCTTAGTCTTGACAATCAACCCCCTTATAATTTAAATATACGTCGTTTTACACAATTTTTTTGTTCTATAATATCTGTCGTTTAATAAAATCAAAATATAATTAATATTTTTTCTTTCAAATTTACCCTTAATTTTTTAATGTATTAGATTAAGTAGAAGTTAAGTGTCTTTCATATTTTTTTTTTTCTAATACGTATTGAATAAGAATATTTTAGTCTTGTACAATTATTTTTTATTCATATTACAGTTATTTAATATCTTCTTTGATACTTTATTCAAAAATTTTAAACGATAGATATTTTAAAACGGAGAGAGTATATATTTGATACTTTATACTGTAATTAGGCTATATGTATTCATCGTAGACTGATGGAACACAATCATTGAGCTATAGCTCTTGTTTCCAACAATTGTTCAATTGTTCTCATAAGCCTACTGAGGGGGATCAGGAGGGGGAGAACAAGGTGATGGCGGGGGAGGTTGTCGACGACGACGACGACCAAATAGTGGCCTTCTTGCAAGCACTCCTTCAGACAGAGTTTCCACCTTCTGATCTTCTTCATACAAGACTTCATCGTTCTCTACAACCAGAGATCGTGCCATGACGGAAATATGACTAGGATCGTCGTCTGGCGGAGTCGAGTTCGAGGGTGGATTTGGTGGTGGTGGTGACTTTTTGGTAGGACCTTTTGGTGGTTTTGCCTTAACTTTTGGTAGCGGTTGTGGTGGTGACCCTCTGGGAGGACTCTTCGGTGGTTTTCTCTTAACCTTTGGTGGTGGTGATGGTGGTGACCCTCTGGGAGGACTCTTCGGTGGTTTTGACTTCACCTTTGGTTTTGGTGGTGGAGGTGTTGGTGTTGGTGGTGGTGACCCTATGGGAGGACTCTTTGGTGGTTTCCTCTTCCTTCTGCATATGGGTGGTGGTGAGTCTGGTGACCCTCGGGGAGGACTCTTTGGTGGTTTTGACTTCACCTTTGGTGCTGGTGGTGCTGGTGGTGACCCTCCGGGAGGACTCTTTGGTGGTTTTCTCTTCAACTTTGGTACTGGTGGTGGTGGTGGTGCAGGTAGTGGTGGAGGTGGTGGTGGTGCTATGGGAGGACTCTCTGGTGGTTTCCTCTTCCTTCTCCATTTGGGTATAGATTTTTCTCCATCACTGAGCTCTTCTTCTTGATGGGCTAGGAGTGAGTTGGGGTTGAAATCAGCAAAGCTGGGGGTGGTGAGGAGAACGACCACCCCGAGGAGGAAGAGGAGAGAGTACGTAGGGCTCATTTTTGGGAGGGGTTGGCTCAAAACATGAAAGTCTGTGCCTTTTATAGGGGTTCCATGAGCCTTTTGGACATGAAAATACGAGCATTTTTTGCATTTAACCCAAATGCCCTTTTCACATTGGGGCGTGCAAATTCTATGGACTCATCGATACAAAATAGGAAAAGTAGTCGATAGTAATATGCTAATTTCGTATTAGGTAAAGTTGGTATCGGATGGATTGCTATTCTCTGTCTTGGCCTTGTCTCTCCCACTTTTCCTTTTATAAATTTCAACAATGTTTAGGGCACTCATTGATTACTTGTTTTTATTAGAGCAAATTTTATTGAATACATTATGATAAATACAACAAAGAGACATTGCTGTATTTAATTTTGGACTACATTATTTTTTTGGTGTGCAAAAGTGTCATTCAGCTTTCATCTTATGAAACTTTTAAACTATCTTTGGAGACATGGATGTCTTGAATTCAACTTATACAGCTCCCTTGATGTCATCTTTAGTTCTCCAATGATTACAATTACATGGAAAATATATACATCCATTGAACATGAATCAAGTATGCTTCTTTATCGATTTAAATGAGTACATTATTGTAATTGCAAAACAAATTGGAACTTAATATATTGGAAAGTTAGAATGATGAAAAATTGAATGGATAAATAAAACACCATGTTTGATAAGGAAAAAAAATAGAAATGATGTAAAAGTTGATGAATTAGTTTTTCTTATAACTCACAAAAATCAATCCCTCCAAAATTAGGAGAAAAGTAGATAAAAAATTTATTATGTGTGTTGAAATATATGTTAGTTGTCTATATATCATATTTATCATATGTATATAATAATTTCATATATATATATATATATATATATAATGGTAAAATATGTATTTATAAAAAAACAAAAAAAAATATTTTTTCTATATTACCAAACAGTGAAAAATCAATCTTTTATACTTTTCATTCCTCTTACCAAATACAAAAAGAGGGAAGAAAAGATTCATCTCTTCAAGGATAAAAAATGTATGACTCTCACTTTTTATCTTTCTATTTTTCCATCTACTTTCCAAACATAAAAGATGTCGTTTCAAGTTCGTTTGGTATTTGAATCATGTGTTACAAAAATGGACTCAAGTCGCACCTATACTTGACCACAATCATGTATAACACTACTTTATTTTGTGTAATTCACATAATTAAACCAATTTTGAGAGTTGCTGGTCTTCAATTCTAATTAACCCGGTCCATCGTGTCGAGTGAGACAGGTTTATGTCAAATCTTAACAGATTCGTCTAAAAAAATATATCATTAATACCTGATTCGTTTATTAATTTGTGTCTAACGAATTGCGTTATGTCGAATTCGTGTAGTATATAAATTGTGTATAACTGATATATAAACAAATTATGTTGTGTATTTCTTCTAATTGACTTCACTCATGTTCGATTCATTTATTAATTATGTCGTATCAGGTCCCCTCGTTTACTACACAGTGAATTAAACAAGATTAAAATCTTTTATTTCGTGTCGTGTTAACAGATCGTATCATATTTTGATACTTTTAAATCAAATTATTGGTTGATCGTATCTATATCGGAACATTGTGCATTAATCCGTACAAAAATGCTTGTGGTCACAAAACATCAGATCCAGTACCTCAAAAAACTATACTTATGATAAATGTAAGAGTAACAATTATTTCTAGAACTTTCAACTTTTCGGGATCTGATTGGCACTCTGTATCGAGCTTTTAACAATAGTAAAATTAAAGATTAAATTATTGCTAGCTCTATAAGCATGAGGATTTTAATGGAACCTAATTTGCTTATCTAGTTTTCTAATATAACACTGCTATGTCGTCAATGAGTTTAGGAAGACCCTATGATATTGGGATCCACTAGTAATTAATCCAACGAAAATAACGAATAAGGTTATGTAAGTACGCCACTATTATTATATTAATGTATCTCGGTAATTTATCAAAAATTCTCCATATATTGCAAAACTCATTATAAGAAAAATAGGCTTTTGCTTCAGAGTTTTAGCTTCAGCTTAATGCTGATGCTAATATCCTACTTTTTGCTTGCCTAATTGACCGAAGCAAAAAGTAGGATATTTGCATCAGCATTAGTGGCTTAATGCCGATGCAAATACTCACCTTTTGCGTTGCTACAATGCTGATGTAAATACTCATTTTTTTTGCATCACTATGATGTACTGATGCAAAAAAGTAACATTATTTCCATTATTTTCATCTGTATTTTTGTGTCAGTATTTGTTGATGCTAATACTTTTTTGCGTCGGCAAAGTGCTAATGCTAACTTTTTGCATCACTCACTACTTATTTATTTTTTTCACCCACTATTTACTTCACCCCCTTTGCCAATACGAAAAGTCTATTTCCTGATTCAAATACTTTTTGAGTCGACAAATGGACTTTTTGCATCGGTAAATTACTGATGCAAAAAATACTTTTTCTTGTAGTGTGTCTTTCCCTTTTTCAAAATTTAAATCTCTCCTCATGCTTTTCAAAGGTAATCTTAGCTGTTTCATTCTCCATTAATATGGTAATGGTAGGAACAAAGCATTCAGGTCCCAATACAATGCCTTCGTATTACTTTTTCAACTTTCAACACTCAACCCATAAACAAGAAATGAAACAATGAATCTATAATGTAATGTACCTTTTAGTTCCTTTTTTTTAAAATAAAAAAATAAGTAATTTCATTAAAGAAAACGTGTTTTAAATACTATTTTATCAAAATCTTTCTGCTTCTTCGTATATAAGCAATATGTATCTGTGTGTGTGTGTGCACGTAATTAAGCTTGAAGGAATAGAACAAATCTGTACAAGAAAAAATGAAAAAACAAGGTTAATATAGTAGGAACGCCCATTACCTTCGATTAGATAAAAAAACAAACACAAAAGAATACTTCAAAGAAAGTTATCAAACAATATCATAGAGTAACTTCTTAGCTACCAACCAGGATAGATATGGGTAAACAGTATGTGGACCATTAATCATTATGATCCACAAGAGCATTTGGAGATACATTCCTTTTCTGTTATGATGAAGTGCAGAAAATAGTGGAAATTAGGCATCATAGATCTTAGGCACCTCTACATTAAATTCTTCATGGGTCTACCAACAGCTTATGTACTTTCATGAGCATATCATACAACTTTACCACACTGAAAAAAATTTCTAACTCTCAAATTTACTGACTATGATTTCGCTTAAAATTTATACCTACATTGATTTTTTAGCCAACAATTTTCTTCTCCAAACACTACAAGAAATTTTATTTAGCGTCAAGTTTTGGCGACGAACAGAAAAATTTTGTTGTTAAAAAGTGATTTCCGACGATAATTTCCGAAGTGATATTCGCTTGCCCTTCACTTTCTAGGGTTATGGTTTGATGGGCCGGTCGATCTATCTCTCCTTACTAACCAAAACAAAACAAAAACAGTTAGGTTGTTTTGGGAGATGGCTCATTTAATCTAAGGAACCAGATACAGACAAAGATATGTGGCTAAAAGGTGGTTGGTTAAGTTGTCTGTTACTTTTTTTTGAGTGTTTATTTAATTTTTCATATGTCATTTACACTTGATAAATGATAAACATGGCAGACAACCTAACCAACCACCAATCTCTTGCCAACATAGTGGTGCTTATAAACTAGATTAGAATAATAGTGTGTTGTCGGTGTGGGATGAAGCTCATTAGGTAAGCCAGGCCTCTAAAAGAAGCAACATAGAAACCACAAATAATGAACAACCCTACTCTTTGGAGTGTCTTAGAGGGGGTGGAAACTCAATCGTTAATGGATATTGCATTTCCACATTTCCGACGAAAGATGATAAGTTTGATACAATCTATTAATGGAGTTATTGATTTGAAGAGCTAAGGATCACAAAAACTGATAGAGTTAGGATTAGGCAAGTCAATAAATTATCGATTGAGGATAAATTAGTTATATTGAATTGTTGTGAAGATTATGTTATTTGAAGATCTACTTGTTTCAATGGTATAGCTGAAAATTAAGTAGCAAAAGAAACTTATTATCATCTACAAACTCAAGCTTCACTCATAGTATGATGCATTTGTTAAGTTTATGTATTCGAGGATCTCTTTACAACCATTCACTGTCATCAAAGGAACCACACAAATTTATCCGTGGGGGATATAATGCACAATGTTGGGTGGACATCAATTTTGTATATATGGACTCATCGACACAAAATAGGAAAAATAGTCAATACTAATTTGCTAATTTCGTATTAGGTAAAGTAGGTATATTGTTATTCTCTGTCTTGGCCTTGTCTCTTCCACTTTTTCTTTTATAAATTTCAACAATGTTTAGGGCACTCATTGCTTGGATATTTTTATTAGAGCAAATGTCATTGAATACATTATGATAAAAACAACAAAGAGACAATGAACATTTATTTTTGGACTACATTATGATCTATTTTTGGTGTGCAAAACTCTCATACAGCTTTCATGTTATGAAACTTTTAAACTATCTTTGGAGACATGGATGTCTTGAATTCAACTTATACAGCTCTCTTGATTTCATCTTTAGTTCTCCAATGATTACGATTACATGGAAAATATATGCATCCATTGAACATGAATCAAGTATGCTTCTATATCGATTCAAATGAGTATTGATGAGCCCGAATTTGACTGGGTCAAGCCCAATCTAAGTAAGCCGAAAAAGCCCGAAGAAAATTTCAATCAGAGCCAAATCAACCCAGGAGTTCAAATCAAGTGAGCCGCTCGTAAATCAACTAGGAGTCAGGCGGCGCCCAAGCCATAGGACCAACGCCTAAGAGGCGGACGTCTAGGAGGCCAGCGCGTAAGAGGCCAACGTCCAAAGCACCAAGAGCCAACGTCCA